CATACATCATGATACACTTCAGAATTGTCAATAAAAGAATTTGGTACAAATCATAGTTTCTTCTTAAGCACAAAATATTAAAAATTCATCCATACTATAAAAGCAATTATCGATTAAAAACTCCTTTAGCTTTTTCTTAAATCTATTTATAGATGTTATGGTAAAAATGCTGTCCGGCAGCTTACATAAAATGTAGAGTTTATGTCCCTGACGCGAAACCTGGGACGCGAGGGATACGGGTTTGACATCATCCTTGGGAAGAGCACAAACCCTTGCCTGCATCACATACCATTTCAAGGGAATCTAGAGGCGCAGTTAAAAAACGGAAAGACACCTAGAAAGGTGTTTCAAAAAACACTAGACAAACCCTAGAGCCCGATTCTCTAGTTTCAAATTTTATCCCGATTCGGCCCATTTTTTTTAGTGATGTGAGTTTGGCTCAGAGCATGACATCCTTTCGATCCGCAAACTATAAACCCACCTCAACATCATTTGTGTCTCGAAACTGCACGAGCTTCACACCTTTTGTCGAAGCGATATCAAACCCAGCCCGACAAATAGGTGTGACTCTACTATGATACTATCTGTACACGGAGAGCTTTTTCTGAGGTTTGAAGGTGTAGGTCGAAAATGATGCGGGCCAAAAGTGTCTCTACCTAGTGATATTTTATCCGCGTCGATTTGGGATCAACACACGGTGTGTGTTTCCTGTGATGTGACATTCGCGTACTTTGCGACTGGCATCCGCGCCATTGGGTGTAGGCTCAGTTTCATGTCGAAACCTGTTCCTGAGTTCGTGTTGATGTGCGTGCGGCGTCATTTGGCGTCTTGCTGTCGTCGGGGACGGTTCTTGGTGAGTCTGGAGCTAGTGATATTTTATCCGCGTCGTTTTGGGATCAACCCGAGGTGTAGGTTTGATGTGATGTGTCATTCGCGTACTTTGCGACTGGCATCCGTGCCATTGGGTGTAGGCTCACATGTCCAAACCTGTACCTGAGTTCCTGTTGATGTGCGTGCAGCATCATTTAGAGTCTTTGTTTCGTCGGGGACGGTTCTTGGTGAGTCTGTAGCTATTGATATTTTATCCGCGTCGTTTTGGGATCAACCCACGGTGTAGGTTTACTCTGATGAGACATTCGCGTACTTTGCGACTGGCAACCGTTCCATTGGGTGTAGGCTCGTTTTCATGTTTAAACCTGTCCTTGTGCTTGATTTGATGTACAAAAGGCTTCATTTTGCGCCATGCGTAGTGTTAGTATGGCCTTAGGTGACTCGCAAAAGTATGATATTTTCTTCGCATCATATAGAAATAAAAGGGGAGTGTTTTTGTATTTTGACACGTGTTTAGCGTTAACTGCGACAGAAACTAGTCTCACAAAGTTTAGGCTCCAATTTGCGCTAAAACCTGTCTCTTTGTTCGGAGTGATGTGCGTTTCACTTCATTGGGAGTCTAGCATGCAGTTAGGACGGTCTTAGGTGACTCGCAATAGTATGATATTGTTATAAAGTGTGTATTACATTGTGGCGACTTTCCACCACTCGGCGCATCCACGCGCATGCGCTTCCACTGTCGCGAGCGTTGCCATGCTACAT